CCCAACATTCTGTGATTCTGTGAATGATAATCCTGACAGGCGCTATTGTATAGGGAGCCACACAATATATACTACTTAAGACTCAACACCTACATGCTAATTATTTTCTTGAAACTCACATAGAAAATTAAATTAAGCCTGAAAAGAGGAAAAAAATGCCATCCCAAACATGCAAAGACAGACTGGCAGAGAGATTCTGGAATGAAAGTAGATTAAAAATGAGACTGAGAAGGTGAATAGTATAAACGAATGCAGGGACCATTCTACCTGTGAGACTGTCAGAAAACATTCCCATAGCTATACAGGTCTGAGCTGAGATTGCACAGGCTGCTAATTGTCCGAGTATTTGTTTTGCAAGCTTACAAACATTCCTTAACAAAGTACCATTATTATCTATCATGCATTCCTCCCTCCACACCAAGTACCTGAGACATGCACTCCTACTCTTGCTCCACCCAAGACATTTTTAGTGAAAATACTCCTATGAAGCCAGAGACAGTTATTGGCAAGTCAGATTGTGACTAATGCTGGTATCTGCCACACAAATTAAAGGGAGGACTACATTCCAAAGTTTCCATAGCTGTAACTAAAGCTCATTTCCTTTATTTCAGTGGAAGAGTTAAGACTCTTAAAGTATCTACGGATATTCTGAAATTAAAAATCAGTGTATACTGTAAAATTATTTTGGTAGCTGTAACATTCTGTTTACCATCTGACAAACTGGTACATTGGTCATCTGATAAAACTGTCAGATTGGAGAAAGTAAGTGTCTCTGATTAAAACTGAACATGTAACTCCATTTTCCTCTTTCAAGACAGAATTCTTGTAGATGGAATGAGAGGCCTGTTCAGGAATACTTAAACAGTTTAAAAAAATCCTATTATTAAACTAAGCAAAGAATGTTAGGAGCTGATTCTCCTACCACTTTTTTCAAAAACTGATCTTGCAAAACAAAACACACAAAGGGTCTCGTCCTTAAGGAAGGTTACTCGGGCATTTAAAGCATACTCAGGCATTTACAGCCTATCTCGTATTCAGGCAGGAGGTAAACAATCTGCAGGAAGCTACACAGGTAATTTAAAGAAAGTGTATCAGCATTCATATTTCAGTGTGTGTTTATTTGAGTATGTAGCATTAGAAAGAGCTGGAGATTTTAAAAGACGTTAAACATGTACATATAGAGGCATTGCAGAGTATGTCCTAAACCTGGAGCTTTAGGAATAGAATAAAATGTCTTTAAGCTTTCTAATTTTTGGCATTTGACAGAGTAGCACTGTTACTTACATGAACATAAAGATCCTCCAAATCTATGAGATTATGTTGCAAAAGGACAGCAGCAACTCTGTATAAAGAGGAAGGTGTCTCACCACTTGGATCCTAAAATACAAGATTGCAAATTTAAGAAAAAAAAAAAAAAAAAATCAAATAGACCACTGCAGAAAGTCATGAAACAGAAATCAAACTCCTCAAAATTCAGATTAAACATACTAACCCACAGTTCTTGTTACATTATTTAACTGCTATTACTCCAAAGCCAATAGACCAAACTGCAATACACAATCATAATTTTCAGAAACAAAAACATTCAATTATCTTCACAGCTTATGATGCTTGTATGCAATTCCTAACCATACATTTAAAAGAAACTTGAATATTTTTCAAATATCAACCATGACTCCCTTGCAAACATGCTCTTCACTCCTGGGGATAAGTCTTTTGATTATAAAGTATAATCTCTTCATTAATGCCAGTCCTTATAAAACTATACAGGTTCAAAAGGAAGGTATCAGGATTGTTTTCAGTTGTCTATCTTGGAGAACGCTAAGCATTCTCCTCTAAAATACATTAAGAGACTTCTACTCAAATAATTAAATGAATGCTTTTAAAACTGGAATTTTACAATTTATAAATTAATTTCTATGTGAAAATAAAAATCTGCAACAAAAATCTGTTATCACTGACTGCAGTTCAACGCTGGGTACAACCAACCACCAAAAGAAAAAACTAAGAATGGAAATACAGTACCTGATAAAATTTGAATTTGAACCCAAGGATATGGCACAGAGTTTGAGGTTCACACATGTACATGTAAGACTCTATCAGTGGTACAAAGAAGTCATCATATTCAGGCCTGCACTCATAAACTTCTAGGATAATATCCAAAACTCTGTTAGGATCAAGGTTAAAACATCCTAGTGGAAAAGAACAGAGTAGAAAAGGTTAACATCAGTACTTTTCATCTTCATTCTGTTACTAAACCATAAATGCATTAGACAAAGATACTGAACAGGACTTTCAATTCAGATTAAGAGAAAAGCCAGAAGTTACCATCTTAAGGCAAACATTTAATAAGTAAAAACACAATCTCGCTAATACCACAGTGCCAGCAAAAGACATGAGCTGCTTCCTCTCCCCTTGTGCTGGCACATATACTCATGCAGTCACACAAATCAGCCAGTTAGAAATTTTTTTTACACCCCAAAAATTGTTGTGGCTTTAGCTAGACCCTGATCCACCTGGTTGTACTGTCCTGTCAATTCAGTATTATTATTATTAGGGATACAGACCAGCTTAAGCCAATGTTGTAATCATATTTGTATTTTATTATATGAACTTTTCCACCAAAACTCCAGGAGACATGCTCAAGACAGAAGTATTACTTATATCAAAAGAATCCACATCTAGACTATTTTCTCCACTGTGCCATGAGAAGTTTTATCCAGGCACACCCACTACACAGATACGTGATTGCATTAGGCTTTCCTCCCCAAAAGCCATTTCCACTACACCAGGACCTACTGCGAGTCAGTACTTTAAAAGAATTGACAATTTATGGGAAGTCTATTTGCAATTCCTGAAATCCCAGAAGACAGAAAAATGTTTTGTTATCAAATTCCTCAAACTGAGTGTGTATTTTTTGCTGTAATAACTAGCAAAACCATCCTCTTCTCTTGCTCTTTTACAAAACAAGTAGTATTTTTGCAGGGATTCAACAGTCTCAGGCAAAATGCTGTGAGAGATAAATTATCTTTAATAAAATAGTAACATAGCCTTTTGACCATTACTACACTGGCACCATATGAAACAGGCACTGGGGAAAACATCTATATACTGTATAAAACTCTTCATTCAAAAAGGAAGTGTAAAACACGGGGAATTACAGACATTTCCTGTTTTCAATGTATTCTGTACTCCAACTGTGACACTCATATTTCACCCAGAGATGATCTCAAACAGCAGCCTAAAGTCACTCTCTGTAGTCCTAAGACCATGTAGGAAAACCAGTGCCCATATTTCTTCAACAAATTCCTTACCTATTAAAGATTTGATATTTTCAAGGATTAAATCACTAGTGATATTTCCAGATAAGTCCTGCCCAAGTTCTGCAATGAGCTTTGCATAACCTTCGTTCTCCTCCCGTAACAAATTAAACTTCTGTTGCTTATAACTGCAAATAAACAGAAATTAAACACTATTGTGTAAGGGATGTCCACAGTGAAGCTTATTTATGCTCTTATCAATATTAAATTTGTTACACAAAATGCTTATTTTGAATACATTTTTAGAAACTTGTAATTTACTTGAGCTGTTGCCAAAATTATAGAACAGACAGTGAATGCACGGTACAATGAATACCTGCGAGGTAGAGAGCATTCTCCAAACAAATCCAGCTCTTCTTTTATTTCTAATGCAGACCATTTAAAACCAAGATTACACTTAACAGTAAAGGTTGCTCTTACACACTGTGCTGGAGAACTGCTGTGTAACAGTCCGTGCTTAAGGGCCTGTTCTAGTTTCAAGTGGTGTCCCTTGAGATTTAGACTGAAACATTGGGTGCAGAAACAAAAAACAAATGTACACCACAAAAAGATATCCTGTGTGGCCTAAACTAACATAACTACATTTGCTTATTTATGAAAACAAATGCCTATGCTTAACTGATGCAACAGCAATAAATAATTTTCTCATACTTTGTAAGTTCACATTTGTCACAAATAAAATTAAGTATTTAATCTGCAATCACCGCAGCAAAAGCCATAGCAATAGGTAACGTTAAAAAAGCTTTTTACATTTCTCAAGAGTTTGAAAACTAAGAGGGCTAATGAGGTTCCCCTGTCAATTAAAAGTTAAAGTGCAACAAAACACATTTCCAAAGAAAATTGAGTATTTCATTAAAAGAAACATTACACAGTGTTAGAAAACATTGTTACCAGACTAATTACCATTTTCCCTCCTCACCCACTCCCCAAACAACCCTTGCCCCGAAACTTACAATAGTTTTGTCTTTATTTTAACAGATTTCTGATTGAACTGCTGAGACTGCTTGATAAGCCCTAATGACTCCAGCGTCTCTGGATCTAAACGCTCCTTTAGGACAGTGTCAGATACAAGATACTAAAAAACACAAAACACAATTGTCAATTACAAAGACCTATAAAGCATCTGATTATTACTTTAGGCTACATATGCATTCTGACTACAAAAAAAAAGTTCAAATATCATGACATACCATGATATGGTATCTACTTCAAACATAGAAGCGGACAAAACTGAGAAACCATTTAACTGACATTGAAATTTTACAGCAGTTGATTCTATACACAACAGCACCCTGAAGAAACAAGCCCTAAAGCCTAATTGCTGGTTAAAAAGTACACATTGTACAGCATCTAGGGATATTATTACCAAGAACTGTGTATTTACAAAGCTTATACACATCTCTCTCATATTCTGTGAGAAAAGCCTCTTTTTCATATGCTCAATTTCCCTAC